ATTTAGAAATTTTACTTTATTATTCTTTTCTAAAATAAAATAAAAAATCATACCAAAACATTTAAAGATTTAATTTATAAATTTAAATAATTTAAAAAGTGGAAGAAGAAAAAATAATAATAAAAGCTATTATCTAATGTTAAAATATAATTTTTTTTAATATAAAGTAATATTAAATTTTCAAATTATTATTTATGTAAGTAGAAAATTTATTTAGAAGAATGTCAATAAAATATTATTATACAAGAGATATTCCTCAGAGAATGATTCATTCAATAATAAATAGCTTATTCAGGTATTGAAGGAGATTACAAAATGACAGAAATTACTTCTCTTTAATAAAAGGACCAAGCAACTTAATTAAATGAGATGAAATAGGCTTGATTGTGGCCTGAAAATAAATTCATCCCTGTGCTCCGAAAATTAATTAGTCTACATCTACACTGACAATGGATAATTATTACACATTGTTAGAGACTACATGTATATTTGTGCTTGTAATTGTTATTTATACTTCCTTATTATGTTAATAAATGTATAAAAATTGTTGTTTTTATTTTTATTTAATAAATTTAATGTCATTCTCATCGAATNAAAAGTAAATTATCTTTATATTTTTATTCTTTGAAATGTGTCTACATATAATCTGAGGGTTATATATTGTTATGGGTTGTCACTTCATTCCAACGTCCCTGTACTAATTTTATTTTAAAATTATTGTTCTTTTGACTCTATAATATAATTTATCGTAGGGAAAAAAGTATATTTTACAATATTATATAACCTCATAAATAATGAACTTAGCTACTTTAATTTTTAGTATTAGCACGATGTCAGCAAATAGAAGATTGTAATTGTTATTTATACCTCCTTATTATGTTAATAAATGTATAAAAATTGTTATTTTTATTTTTTCATTTTATTTTTTTTTTTTTTTTTAAACGAAAGTGAATTACATTTATTTCATCACATTTCAAGAAAATGAAAGTGGCATTATTTTTGTAATAATGATTTATGTCACTATCGTAACTTTTCAACGAATCTAAAGAAAAATAAATAAAATANTTAATTTATTAATGAAGTATTGTGCTTTTTACGTTTTAACAAAGTTAATGTTTGATATAAATTGTTAATGCTGTTCAAATTATAATAATGTAAATCAATTCTCCCTTTCAAGTGTACTTGTTTTAAGTAATAATGTAAAGATTTTGGAATGTAGCCTACTTATTGTTATATATATAGTTACGACATTCAATATTGCTTTTGACACATCTAACTAAATTTTTGTTTCAGGTGAACAAGCGAATCCTGACGTACCAAAGGTTAAAGTGCTGTCGTATCCTAGGTACTGTAGATATAGAACAATGTTAAAGAGGATAGAAGAAACATCAGATTCTTGGTTGAAAAATGCACTGGTGATAGCATTAGGTGGATTTACATTAACGTCACATAACACTTTCATCCTTTTCTGCCGCGATACTTTTGATCACGATGCTCTGTTACAAAATGATCTCAACTGTGATCACTTAGGTAAGGTTTATTTTATTTAAAAAAAAAAAACTACATTAAATACGTTCCATGTTACAGAAAATTACTTTTAAATATATTTTATTCCTATTCAATTTAATTTTATATAAATTCCACATTTTATTTATCCAAATCTATCTTTATTCTTATAATTGAACAATAATATAATAAAGCTCTATTTAATTTTTGTAATTAAAAAATAAATCAATTTAATTCAATTCTCCATATTTAAATTCTTAATTATATCTCTAATTTATATGTATATATTCAAGCTCCAAATTTAAAAGGAAGGCCACGAAAGAAGCAAATCAAAACGAAACGGAGCGCATCACCAGATTCTGAATCGAACACTTCCGAAGAAAATAGAGAAGTCAGTATAAAAGTAAAAGTAAGATTTATTCTTAGATTGCGATTGAAAAATTTATTATAATAATCATCGCTAGGTGGCGCTTACGTAGCTTAATAAGCTTAACAAAACGCCACCTATCGAATTAAAATTATTTCTATAGATTACACAATCCGATAGCCGTTTAGTTAACGTCGACTCACAGATGGCGCTAGATTACAAATATTTACGCCACCTACCGTTGAGGAAAAATTTTATTGATGATGCTTGCTTAACCTAACACCATCTGTCGATCAAAATATGAAGTACAAGAAGCATTATTATTTATTTCAGTTACTTTTTTTCGTTTTCTTTTTCTTTAGTCAAAACGAAAGCCAATGCAACGATTTAAATCAACCAATCGGATATTAAGAGGGGAAGGAAATGATCGTCAATCACATTTTTTTACATCAATTCCTTTAAATATTATTTGCGTTTCTCTTTAACATGATTTCACGTCAGATATTCTTCATCCGAGAGGAAATATAATTACAGAAATTTGTATCTCCTGTCATGGTCATTAATCTTTTACAGAAAGGAGAGACAGCAGTCAAGTATAATTACGAGAGGTTGAACTTTGGGAACAATTTATCCTCTTCACAAATGCAATAACTTAAGCAATTCGACGAAAATTTTTATCCTGTCATTTTGCATATGTCAGTAGTAAAGATGGAGAATTTTTTTAATAATTCATTTTCTATTTTTGATATATTAGATACTTGGTTTACGTTTCTAATTTTTTTTTCTTCTTTCAAATGTTTCCATACATCAATGCACATGATCGATTGATCAATCTTATCATCTGCAAACTATTAAAGTACTGATTTTTATTGCTCTATTATTTAAAACTGATTATCGTGTTACACATTTATAGTCGGCGGTTGTTATTAAATGACCATTTTATTGCTACACTACAATTATTAATTTATGAAAACAGTATCACAGAAAGTATAGCAGAACCATGTCCTGTGCCTCACATTTACAGAGGCCTCAAAAACGTGTTACAAATTTTTCTATCCATTGCATTTCTTAATTATAACAAGTAATCATTTTTTTAAATAATATAATTTGACTAAATAAATAAATAAAAGTAGAGAAAAAATTTTCCTTTCTTTGATTTTTACTTATTGGGTGCCTGAAAAGTATGGGTCTTGGTCTCTTCACATTTGAGAGGCATTGTATTTATATAAGCATATAAATCCATTAATAAATTTAATTGAGATTCCATTGTTTATAGAGATAACTGAATCATAGGCTTTGCAGTTCATTGTTAGCATTGGAAACTAGAAATATTTGGTATGATGGATAGCACGTAGACAAAATTGTTCGCAAATTACTTCTCCAAGGCTGCAACAAGTTATGTCAGTGCGTTTTACAATTTTCAGGAGATATCGAGACTTCCTTACACAAATAGCTTTCCATCCAGGCTCTGCGATATTTTACATAAGTAACACTTGTCACTATTATGCAGAGTTATCTGTATAATTCCAAACATGAATCAAACGAAAATCATGATACTAATGTTTTAATAGTCTTATAATTATTACAGTTGTTGTTATATTGTTAGTTATACCTTCTGTTGTTGGATCCATTATTGATGATTCAGTAGGAAGAACAAACTCTGCCACAACAGAATGCCTGATATTGTTGTTTCTGACTAAATATCAGCCATTGTCTTATCTGTAACATATTGTACAGAATTTTATTATAAAATAATATTTTAACAAGTCGTAACTTACGTTTCCTATCACGGTACTCACACGCAAACTCAAAACTACTTTTCTAAATCCTCATTAATGATTTGGCCCTTTGCATTCAAACGTCTTTCATTAACGTTCGTGCAAAAGAATTAAACCTGTTATAGTTTTCCTCATCAGTGAATGCGAGAAAAAAAATGAATCAAAATTACATTCCTCAAAATGCCTGATGGTCATTTTTGACTTTATCATCCTGTTGATATAATTTCCAAAAAGTGTGTACTGCACTTTTGTATTAGTGTCATAATCCACAATAAATTAAAATACTTGAGTTTTTATGCATGAATTCACTCACCTAAGATTTTCATCTGGTCCCACTATCCACAAATAATATCAATACAGGCTTGGGCAATTCATTCATGATTTTCAAAAGTTAGTCAAATTCAGGCAATTCGTATATAATCAATCAAAATCTCTTATATGAATCAATGCATTTGAAGATGTGTGCATATCATAACTTATAGCGACATGTGTTGAACCCACTTAAGTATGTGGGTCTAATATGCGTGAACATCATGTGCCAAGTTGACCTATTTTGCTTGCCTTGATCAAATAGAAAGCAACAACTGGCGGGACATTCCAATTTTCAACGCGAGTGTTGAGTGTTGAAGTCAACAATTTTACGTCATCAATGACGTTCCAACTCGAGTACGAAGTGTTTAGTTCCCATAATTCCATTCTCAGCAAGATGGATTCCATTCAAATGTCGCACCAATTACCCACAATTCATTGGAAAGTAGCAGTCAACAGGTTGAGTGCTGAGTGTGTTGAGACAGCGCTGACAACAGCGTTACTTCAACATTGAAAAAAGGAACGATTTTTAACGAACGTTGAGATCAGCGCTGAGTCAGCGTTGAAAATTGGAATATCCAGTGGGAGAATGCTTATGTTGGTCCCCAATGACCCAGTCACGATCTTATAAAGTAACTCTATACTGGTCTTGAGACAGAAAAGCTACTTTCTTAAGGTTCCAAAACGGTAGTAAAACCTTCTAGGATACTTACTGTACATATTGAAACTTGGAATGAGCATGCAGTTTGTGCAGGTATAATTTTACATGAACAGCACATATGTCGCTTACCCTCAGTTGTCACTGAAGATTTGGGCAGCAGACTAAATACGTGACAGTGGGACTCAATTGAAATCCTTTACATCACAGGGTATCCACTAAATCAAAGTTCTGAATTCCTGGAAAGCATCACTTCTCTATTTAGCATTTGTAGAAGCACCATAAGATGAAATGTCCACTATAGAATAGTCTGCAACTAATCAGCTTTGAATTGTGGCCTTCCTAACCATGTTTGAACATGCAACTTTTTGTTTAATTTAGGCGTATCTTTTGAGTTTCAAGCATCGTTCATCATGAAATCTTCTGACTACAGCTTTTTGTTTTCCTGGTTTCCAGCTTCTTTCACTTGCAACTATTTTTACTTCTGGGTTTTATTTGGTTTAAACTAGATAGAACGAATAAAGTCTGAAGTTTTTCTTGATACTTATTGCTGCTAACAATTATTCTTGTGCACGGAAATGTTTACTGGACAGAGTTATGGCTACAAATTGCTCTTACCTCCTACTGTTTAAAGGCGCTTCCATAAATACATTACGCAAATTTTGATAGGTCCATTTGCATTTGCAATTGAAGGACCCTGAGAAAATAACGTAAATTACAAATCGTGGGTCTTGATTGATAAAACCATTGCTCTCATTATCATGCGCCATTGTATTTTTGGCAATTTATAAAATATGCATGTATGCTTTACATGCATTATTATTTCTCTAAATATCTTTACATGAAATTTGTTACTTTCTTGTATCTATTTCCAAAATGTATTCTGCGAACCCTGCTTTTGGCTATACACTCTGCATCCTACCAACTGCGATGTCTTGTGATGTTCTTTTTCCGTGTGGCATTCCGCGCATTCTTTTATTCAGCAGTGCGCTGAGCAGTTGCTGACGGAAATGACGTTTTTGCTGCTGACGGTTGAAAACACTTGCTGGAGAGAGCTATCTCAAAAAGGCTGATATAAACAATGATTTTCTGCTTTCGCGTTTTCTTCTAATAATATTGAACAAAGCCATTAAGTTCGATGTTGTTTATAATAAAACGAGGATATGATTTATTTATGGCATTGGCGATAACTGATTCCCAACAACGAAGAAAGCGTGCAAACATCGTTGTTTACGTTTACGATATCGTACCATAGTATTCGAATGAAATCTTTAAAAGCCATTTTCGTATGTCACGTTTAAAAATCTGCTAATTTAAAACAGCAAAAAACTGATTATTATTTGGTAGTCGAAAAAGATACAAGATGAACGCCTCCATGAGAAAGTAAGTAGTATTTTCAGCGTGGTCGAGATGTGCTGCTAATGCGCTGAAAGCGCACCTTAAGCGCGCTGAATAAAAGAATGTGCGGATTAATTCTGCACTTTTCATACTTGACCTCATAAACACCCCTATGCGTTTTGAAAAACTAGCAGGTAAATTCATTCCTTTGTCAGCACACCAACAAAAATCCTTTCACTTGCACTTCTTTATGAACTAGTTTGCCTTTACGATGGCAAATTAGTGCAGAGCTGCCAAATATTTAATAAGTAAAGTTGTCAGAGATGTTTGATTTTTATTTATTCATTTGTAATAACTAAAAATGTTTTTCATGAAATGACAATGAATTTTGAAAACATCAAAAATATCCTTCTTAAATCGTCAAATCTAGAAATACTGAATTAGCCTTTGCTACTTGGTTGCAAAAACAACCCTTACCTCCCTTCAGCTGTCTGCCTATGATTACTTATAAATCCTCTCCTTCCGCCATCTCTCGTTACGTGGTTTGTGCAAAGTTCCTTTTTAAATATTTTATAGAAAAATGAAAATTCCAATGGCAATGGACCATTCATGGCAAAGGGCACCCACAAAAAAGGCCAAGAGTACATTTGCTCCTCTTGACACTTGCTTTATTTTTTCTTTTCTCTTCTTTGCTTTATAAAATTGCTGTTCAGCAAAAATCAAATGTATTTTGTAAAAATATTTTAATATCCTTACACAGAAATATATAAGCACAATAATCCATATGTAACAAGAAGGTCCTTCTAACTCTCGTTAAAGTCCTAAACAAGAGCTGTAATATTTAATGAACATGAGTTCAGTAAATATTTAGTCGGGTAGTTGATCTAAATCAGTGTTTTTCAACCTGTGGGTTGCGGGTAAAAGAAAGTGTTTTTAGGTCCTACACTACAATAAAAAAAAAAAACTACAATTTCAGAGAGAAAGCTGTGCCTGTTTATTTTACAGTACAATTGGTTTTTCGATCGATATTTAGGTCTAAACAGAAAGAAAATTAAATAGGTAGTTTTTAAAATCACTGATATAGTTTTAATATGGACCTGGGGGGGTCGCGTATTCAAGAAGGTTGAAAAACACTGATCTAAATCATACAGGTTTCATCCCAAGACACACCATAATTCTTCATGCATCCTTGTTGCCCATGTCTCTCTCAATATCTGAAGAATTCCAAAGTGTAGCTCCGAGATGCAAGATACAGAATGTATTGTTATATCTTTAATCATATCAGTCAATATGACTGTATTAATATATATTTTTATAGAAAAATCTGTATTAATAATTCTAAATATTTTCGCACAAATAAATAAATAATTTTATATACTATTCAGATAAATCTGAAGAATGGGTTAAAGAAACCTTCATGCAAAGATGAACAAGAATTCCTGCAAACTCTCTTCAAATTCATGAAGAATAGGAATACACCTATTCATCGTGTTCCTCATTTAGGATTTAAACAGAGTAAGTAGGTTATATATAAATAATTTTTTTTTTATAAATTAGAAACACATCATTCATGAATCTTAACAGTTTTATATATTTATAACAATGCAAGAATTACAAATTAATTTTCAATGTATGCATTATGTTGACAATGGGTACATTCCAATATGCATCAATCTCACAACCTATGTGCTGGTGAACAATTTAATATGCTTTACTGGAACGTCCAGCAACCTAACAAGATGGCAGAAGAAAACAGTTCTATATTGGCATTTGTACATTTATTTTGTGAAAATAACTTTGGGTTAACACAGATGAGTAATAAAAATGGTGTTAATAATATAACCATGAAGGTGACCATACTGCTTCATCAGAGATCACCACATTCACAGCCTGACAAGTCAATGTGCATCAGTTACTTCAACAATGAACTTATCAGTGCAGCAACACATTCACATCACACTCACTGGGATCACGAGTTCAACAGTGCACCAATGAACTCAGTGAATATCAGATAAAATTTTAGTACAGTGATTTCCAAGCTTTTTCAAGCCACCATCCCCTTGGTTCCATAAACTTATATCCAATGATCCAACTGTATCTCAACACCTCCTTTCCCTTGTGTGAGAGTCTTGGAAATATTCTTAGAAAAACTTTTCTACAAACCTCATACTTTGTCCTTACTGTACATTGTTCTCTACATGTAGAAACCATTAAATGCAATGTTTCTTCTTACTTGTTTTAACAGAAGAAAAGGAAAGGTTGTCAATGACCACAGCCTTTGCCTATGGTAACTGTTTGGTTAGTACCCTGCCTCCTGTGCCCTCTGCTGCCCACTTGCTTCTTTTTGCCCCATAGATTTAGCCAAGGTGGGCAGTAGTACCCACCTTGGGAACCACTGTTTTAGTACATTGTGGTTCACTAATATTGTTTGATGTATACTGGAATGTACTCAATGATACAAATATATCAACTTTAATAACATGGAAAAATTCTTAATACAATAAATATTGAAGACAAAACAGAAAAAAGTTTTTTAACAAAATTTCTATGCATATATCAATAGGAACATATTTGCAACATAAATTTTTATTGTAAAATGGAGTTCCAGAGTCCATAATAAAAGGTTCTTAAGCAAAACTAATTTTTATTCTAATTATAAAATAACAGTTGCTGACTGAGAACTGAGATGATTGAGGCAGTAAAAGCATCAGCCTGCTGTTTGGGGATCTGGATTGAAAGTCTTGGGGGTTTTTTAATCAACAGTTGGCCATTCTTATTGTCGACTCAACAAAACTCATCGAAAAAAGGAATTATTAATGCCCATAGTTTTTAATTCTTTCTATTCTAAGAAATTAATTTCTAATTTAATGTAAAAACACAAAAACTGCCATTTAAATCATTTTATAATGGAATTATAAATCAGAAAACATAATACATTATTTCATCTTAATATTTACAGTAATATTCAAACCTCATAGTGCTTGGTCAGTAAACTGCTTCAAAGATTAATAAGTATAATTCATTTTAACAATATGGTAATCAAAATATCTGTTTTCATCAGCAATGTTACTTTTTCTATACTGTATTTTGTTTGATGGTAATTATAAGAAATTTCTTAGGTATTGCACAAATTAATTTTGAATTTATTAGTATATGAACTAACTTAATGAACATTGATCTCAATGTTAAGTATTAAGCAGTGATAACATATTAAGTTTTATTATCTGTAATTTTGTTTAAAAAATAATTAAGAAAAAATAGTTCTTAATCCTCTTCTTAAATCTTGCTGGTAATCAATATTATACTAAAGTGAATTTTCTTCCAAAACAAATAGAAACCACACCACAATTGTTTTGCCAAAGTAATTTACTTCTCTATACTGTCACTCTTCACAAAATTCATTTTGGACTCTTAAGTCCTGCATCAGTTGTACAGCAGCATCTTACAACGAATTTTTCTTTTATCAGTATTAAAAAAATAACAGAAACAGAAGTATTTTTATAATTATATAGAAATGATGGTTAAAAGCACAGTGTGACCAAAAAGTAGCTTACCAAATAGGGGTAATCCCTATTGTTTCAAGTGCAATAATGACCAGAAGTAATCACTTTGACTTCTGAATGAATGGAACTTCTTTTATTGTGTGGGGAACAATCACAGAACAACACAGGAAGTTGCTTGTGAATTTGATTGTCAACAAGCAACCTTCTGGAGTCTTCAATCAAGCTGTTAGCAAATCATAACAGAACTTACAAATTCAGTGTTCTGGATGAAAACAAGCTCACTTGTTTTCATCCAGAATCTGCATGATTACTTCTAGTCATTATTACTCCTGAAACAATAAGAATAGTGATTCTCCTGACTTGACGTACAGCCTTTGGCAATACTATAGAATTAATCATCTTTTAGGGTTTACATTTTAGAGATTTCAATGGGAATTTGCTGTTCACTTTTCTTATAAGTTATGCTCTATAAGATCTAGATGCTCAATGTTCCTTCCTTGGAAGATTTCTGAAATGTACAATAAGGGGTATCAGAAAATGAAGATTTGCATAAGAAACACTTTGATGTAGCATCTGATTTATTGTTTCTTAAAAAGAAGGTACATTAAGTTGTATGAATAGCAATACATATAGAAATGTGGTAGTTATTAAAAGATCACATAGCAATATAATGATTATGACAGACTAATGTCTTTGGTAATTTCATCTCATATCAAAGGCTTGTTCCTCACCAATTAATCAGCCTTACTGTGTTTTTTATACAAGGCAATTCAAATAAAAAGAAACAAGCTTATTTTTTTCAATTTTTAGAATTTAAAAATCTGTTCTAAAATATATGACACCATTTTAAATAGAGTAAGAAACCCAAAACGCTCCTAGAATTTTTCAAGAATTTAATTTCTAAATATATAAAAAGCAAAATTAAGTTGTTAGTTTGACAATAATAAAAATACATTTATTTATCTGATTTTTTGGGAACAAATTACCAACATTCAGCTGGGGATACCTTTATAAAGAAAACCTAAATATTATCAAAATTTAATTTTTAAGGTTTTGTTTCAATTATTTCTAAAATTAAAACATTTTATCTTTACAGTTGATCTCTATTTCTTCTATATGTATGCACAGAAGCTGGGTGGTTATGAAAAGGTAAAATTTTTTAAATATTTATTACATTAAAACACATCTCAGTCACCTGTTAATACTGAAATACTGTATATAATACAGAATGGTGCAGAGTCAACTGATGTACTTCAGAATGCTGTCTTGCATTATGAAGTACATCAGTATGTAGGATAGGAAGTATTGTTACAGATTAAATCATAGAGAATTTGATGATATTTTAAAATTCATCCAGTTACAATGCAAAGATGAAGTGTAATGTAGAGAAAATACAACGTTCTTCATTCAAACATGATTTGATTCTACAATAAAATGAGTTTTTGTGCAAATATATGAAGATATTAATAATGTAACCAATGTATATACATGGTATGTTCAGATAGTAATGGAATCTTTTGAGAATAATCCACATTGCTTAGCTTACCAACAATCTCATATCATAGGAATATATAGAGTTTGATGATATCAAAGTTCTATTTACAAGATACAGATTGTCCAAAGCAAAGTTGCTCCAATAGCCAAAGCAGCATTGCCTCAGGCATAAAATTGAAAGGGGGTGTCAAAATATACTGCTGGCCAAGTAAAATGCAACACCTGCAATATATAGAGTCCTAAATGGTGTTGCATTTTACTTGGCCAGCAGTATATATCATTACTTTAGATATATTTTATATAGTATACTATATTTATTTTGGCATATCAATAATAATTTAACCTTCAAATGTAAAAAAAATTTAAGTGCACAGGTAACATTCTTAGGCAACAAAATTATCTGCAGCCTAGTCCAGAAGTTAAAGCATGCAATTGAAGCTGAAACTGTGTCATAATGTGATGTACAGTTTTTGTGATTAAGTTAAGATAACACATTTGAAGAAAGCCACTTATATTTGAAACAGCTATAAAAGTAATAAAATAATATATACTAGTTTACATGCAAAGCATTTATTTTATCACTCCCTTGATGTATTCAAAAAAGTACCCTATTCAGTACTGAACCACTCTGTATACATTTATCAATAATGTTCTAATTTTTTTAAAAACAAAAAAAAAAAGACATTTTGAAAATTGTATTTGAGAGCTTATTTTCTTTGCAGATTACCTATAAAAAATTATGGAAGCATGTTTATGATGAATTGGGTGGAAATCCAGGAAGCACTAGTGCAGCAACTTGTACAAGACGTCATTATGAGAGGTAACATTTCTTCATTGCATTACGTGTATAGAAGCAATTTTAGTAGAATAAACTAATAATAAAAAAATATTTTAGACTATTGCTACCATTTGAGCGTTACATGAGAGGAAATCAAGGAAAAAAATTTTCGTTACCTCCACCAGCAACATGTGCAAAGAAAGAAAAATTAAAAATGAAAGAGAGAATACAAACGGATAAAATATTACGAATGAATAGTGAAACTCAAGAAAATTATGACAGTACTGATGAGAGTCAAGAAGAAAGGCATGATGATAACAATCTAGTCATTGATTTAGAAAAGAATGGAAACGCTCATAAGGACAACATCAAATTTAAAGTAAAAGATCTCAAGTGCTTTAAAAAAGACTGGAAAGGTTTGCATAGAAGTCTCCTTCCAAGCAAGGTATATTTAATAAATCATCATTGACTTTTTATATTCTTAGCAATAATTTTAAACTGTAGCATATTCTAACACTTTCAAAACCTTTTTACACCAGCATTTTATTATTTTTCTCATTAACATAATGAAAAAATCAGAGAAAAATAATAAACTGCTGGTGTAAAATGGTTTGAAGTGGGTTTTTTCAAGAAATTACAATTAGAATACATAAGCAATGAAATTGATATTAAAAATAGAATATGTTAAGTGTTAAATACATTGTTTACTACCTAAATACTTCATATGTAAGCAAGGAAATTTACTTTATTATGCAGTCACTTTTAAATCACAAAGTGCACTCTGTACGAGCACCATTTAACCAAAGGCACTGATTTATTCCCTCTCTTCTTGATGAACATATAAGCAACATTTCTGATGTTATATGTACCATAAGTGGCCCTTGCATGTTTACTAGGGGAAGGAATTCTATGTGCTGTCTTCAGGAAAAATAGCATAGGGCCATCCATAAATGATTTCAAACTAAATCCTCCTTCTCCCATGTCACTCATTGTCATCATCTCCCTCTGCCAAAGCCTTTGCATTATTAAGATGTAAATACACTGCATCAATTATATAATGGATATTAACTGAAAATGATTTATTTACACTTTTATCAAAATAAAACACTACATAATAATAGCAAAATTAAACAAATTATTTCACTATCATGGTTTTGTAAGATGTTTTCCAATTAACACAGTGGGAATGTTGGAGACTTGTGTCCATGCTTTGTTCTGTCATGCCTGTCATCAACATTTATCTACTCATCATCATCTGTATTATATTCCCAACTAAAGTTTCCAAAAAGTTGTTTGGAACACTTTAGTTGGGAATTCAACATTTCCCTTTAGTGTATGAGAGATGCTATAGTCTACAGATTTAAAAAACATCAAGTGTTGCTTCTCTATATTTTCTTTTACCATGGTAATATTCTAAAAATAAACTTTGAATTTTTCAAAATGTTCAATAATCATTTTTAACAAGTCTACACACAATCAATAAATGCTTAACTTGTAAACAGGGCCATTGATAGCCTAGGGTAGAGTGGGTCCTTTAGCTCCTTAGCCATAGTTATTTTGATTTTTCAAAATAAAAATAAAAAATAGCTTTTTACTAATGAAGAAACATTCTGTCTTAAACAATTTTAGTTTTTGTTAGTAAAAATGACATTAATTTATAGGGATAGAAACTGCCATGGACCCCAGTAAAAATCTCTAGTTCCTCCCTCATAATAATCCTGCTTGTAAATACAGTAGTGCCCTGACTGATATTGAAGTTTTATATACAGTATACACAAAATTGTCTTTAACTCAACAGATCTTAGATATAAATAAGATAATCTATAACTTACTCACAAAAACATGCAATGAGAAGTCATTTGTAACATATGAATAGTGAGAATGTGATGAGGTAAATTCCACTCTATAATAATCTCAAGAATTTTACCAATTACCAGTAGCTAATATTCTGAGTTTGCTTAGCATGTGCCACATGCTTAAGAGAAAATTTTGACTGTTAATATACTTTTTACATGAGAACAAATATGTCAATAATAATTTATTCTAAACATGTAAACTCTTTTATCATTTGTGTTTCCTTTTACACTGGCAGCTAGAATGCGATGCTTGCAGGAACTTGATCACTTGCTCGTGTGGAGGTTTGTCACAGCAAACAAGTGCATTTGCACAATGTCATTCAAAGCATTTAACACGGCCAGATTGTATCGAAAGCTTGCAGTACCCAGTCAGCATACATGTATTGTGTACAGGGTGGATCTACATAGGAACTAATAAGGTTTAAGCCCTGGGCATTCAGTGTCAAGGGCACACAAAAATTGAATTATCATCATAAATTTTTAATACATTTTCATTATAATATATTTTATGTGTAGATATAATAGGCTTTATAATAGTCCATACTTTTTTATTCATGCCAAATAACATTGCTTCCTATTGTTCAGTGCTAGAAATATGCCTATTATTATAACTTTCAGCATGCTTAAAAATTCTGGTTAGTATTTACCCCTGCCAATCACTGTACAATGGCTTTAATGGATTGTGTTACCAGCCATAGTAAACTAACTGACATATTAACTTTTTGTATTCTTATTCTTATATAAATTTAAGTACAAAAATTATTCTTTTGAATGTCAATTTTTTTTAAAATTATTTCTTCAAAAAAATTGATGAAACATCATAGGTTAAATCCAAAGAAGTTAACCGGCGTTTTTTTCGTCTGGACCACATTTTATCAGAGACAAAAACTTCTGAGTGTTATCTTCGTTATTCTTTATTCACTATGCATTTCGGGTGCAATATTTTGTGTATCTTGCACTCCTCATCAGGTGTTATATTTCTGTTTTTTTTTTTTTTTTTTTTTTTTTGTTATTACTGTGAACTAGTTTATCTGTATAGTATATTATAATGTGAACATAATCAGAGC